ACATATACCAATCACATAAACAAAAGATTTTAGTTCATAACTTAGTGTAATTATTTTGTAAAACTTCCATGCCCGGGGATTTTAACTTTACTATTCTATGTCTTATTCATCTGTTTAAATTGTGAACCATAGCACAAATGTACAGAGTGTAAATATGCTATGTAAATACCACAATCCAAAAATTTTTAGCACAACTATTTAATAGAGTATGATAGTTGGCTTACTGCCTATCTCAAAAGAACAAGTAATTTTTTCCTTTTTTCAAAGGAACAAATAACCCCACAAAGGAGTTAGAGTTAATGGTATGTATGTAACTGCACAGGATAATTTATGATTTTTCTGATCTAAACTTATTACTGGTCTTCCCAATGTCACCATGACTCAGTTACTCTGGAAAAAATCTAGGAGTCATTCTTGATCATTCTTTCCCTCACAACTCATATTCATCCATTCGTAAGTTGTAAGCCATTTTTTAGAAGATATCTCAAATTCATTAACTTCTCAAAATTTCTATTTCTACCTCTCTTGAATTATCAGTATCTCACACCTGGATTACTGCATTATCCTCCAACTGGTCTAGTTGCCTCTACTCTCTTATTAATTCAATGGGTTTCTTTCTGTTTGGCTCTGTGATTCCTTCATGTTCTTCTTCTTTTTTTAAAATATTTATTTATTTTGAGAGAAAGTGTGCACACATGCACACATGCAGGGGAGGAGCAGACAGAGAGGGAAAGAGAGAATCCCAAGTAGGCTCCACACTCAGTGTGGAGCCTGACATGGGGTTCAATGTCATGACTGTGAGATCATGACCTGAGCTAAAATCAAGAGTTGGACACTTAACTGACTGAGCCATCCAGGCACCCCAATTCCTTCACATTCTTAAAAATTACTGAGGACTGAAAGCACTTCTATTTATCTGGGTTATACCTATTGGTATTTGCTGTGTTAAAAATTAAAACTGAGAAACATTTAAAATGTTAAGAATACACACATACATTTCATTAGCTATAAGAGCAGTAATATCTACTGCATATCATCTAGATAGACTCTGGAAACTCCGCTGTACCCCATAAGAGAATCAGAGTAAAAAAAACAAATAACATTTTAGTAATATTATGAAAATAGTTTGACTTTGCAGATCCCATGAAAAGATCTCAAGAATATTCAGTATCCTTCGACCATACTTTGAAAACTACTGCTTTAGACTATTTTCCCGACAGCACATCCAGAGTGATCTTTTAAAAATATAAATCAGATCAGGGATGCCTGGGTGACTCAGGTGGTTAAGCATCCAACTCTTGATTTCAGCTCAGGTCATGATCTCATGGCTGTTGAGATTAAGCTCCACCTTGGGTTCTGTACTGAGCATGGAGTCTGCTTAAGATTCTCTCCCTCTGCCTCCTCCCCTGCTTGGGTGTGTTCTCTCGTTCTCTCTCTCTCTCTCCTATGTACACACACACAAACATACACACACACACAAACACACACACTGTATATATAAATCAAGTCAAAACCCATGGGATTAAAACTCAGCTATCCTCAAAGTTATGTAAGTTATGGCCCTCTAATTACTTCTCTGAACATAATCCCCTGGTAACTTTTACTCATACTACTCTCTCCTCTTTACCCAAATTCCATTCTGGTCTTGCTTGCTTCTTGCTGTTTGTAAACACACCAAGCGAATTTTTTTATACTTTCAAGTCTACACTTGATGTTCTTCATGCTTTGAATGCTCTTTCCATACCTGGCTCTCTCTCATTATTCAGGGTTCTATTCAAACGTTATCTCCTCAGAGGAGTTCCCTGACCTTCAATTTAAGAGAACCAGCACTGATCCCCACCCCAACATCATGCAGATATTATATTCTTTACCTAGCTATTTTCTTCATAGGACTTGAAACTATGTTATTTATTTGCTTTTTAATTAAATATCTTCCTTACTGGATGGTAATTTCCTGAGTAGGAAAATTTGTATGTCTTATTCACTAATGTATTCCTAGTGCCTAGAATTGTATTTGGAGAAGATGCTCAATGAATATTTGTTGCAAGAACCAATGAACTTCTTTAAAACCACCATTACACCATATCTAAAGTTAGATGATGAATTCAGTGTTTACCATCCTTACCATTCCCATCTTTATTCTTCCTCAGTTTTGGCAATTTGCTATAAGCCAAATTTAGATCTTGGTTTTAAAAACAGGAAATGAATAATGCCAAAATTAAAGAGAAAAATATTACTGTGATTGTCCTCGTGTACATAAGAACTTCTGACACAACCTACTGAAAAGCTATAAATTTTAACAGTGAAGGTGTTCTTTCTTTGCTTAACTACATGTCATTATTAAGTAATATTATTACCTTAATTGGAGGGCACCGAGAACGGCAAAAGTTATTGATCTTCTTCTGCAACGGAAGTTTGATCTCAGTCAATATTACACACTGTTAAGAAGAATATAAGAAATTAAATATTAGAAAATAAACAACTAGTTTGGTAAAATACACTTCTAAGTCAGAAGCATGTCACAGTTTGCATTATGCTAAAAACACATTGTTTTCCTTGTAAAAAAAAAATACTTTCCCAATGTATTCCATTCTAAGGTTAAAACCTTCAGAGTCATGGAATAGCAAAAGTAAAAATAACATATACAGAGGAAAACCTGCCCATATTAAATTCAATTACTATCATAGGATTTACATAAGAAGCAAACCTTAATATCATATGTGGTATTTTTGTACTCTAAATGGCTGGAGATTTTGTTTGATCTGTTTTGCCATGGGAATACTAACCTAGTCTTCAGGATATTAATTAAATGCTAGCTTAAAGGAGTAAAGATTATATTTTTAAAGACATACACTAGTTGGCTTAGCTTTTACTTCAGATGCACAATATAACAACTTTTGCTTTATGACAGTGTCATTAGTAAAACTACCAAGTTCTGTTATTTAAAATAGCAAATTATAGTTCTCAATGCTTAACTTTTTATCATCACCCTGTAAGATAAGTAGAGAGCTTTTATAATCATATTTTAACATAAGTAACTTAAACTCATAAAGGTAAAAAACTTTCCTAAGGTCATTCATCTACCTATCAAGTGGCAAAAGGAGAACTAGACTCTCAGTCCAGAGTTTTCCTTGCTGGTAGTTTCCATGAATTGGATAACTTTTTTTCACTACAAATATCCAGTTGTGGATTTATTCTTATTTACCTAGCTCAGAATATGGTGTGCTTCCTGCAAGATTGATTTCTCCTCCATGGGTCTCTTACTTTTTATACATGTCTCAACTGGGTATGCCATGAATCCAAGGATCTTAACTATTCTTGGACCATTTCTCAGGATTGTATTTGCTTTGTGCAAGCTGGAGGAATGAGGTAATGTTTCCCTCTGGGACAAAGAACAAGCCTGTTAATTGTTTCCTATAAAAGCACAGGTTTTCCAAGCTCAGTGTTCCTCTTATCAAAAGGAGCCCATTACATGTGCAGGCATCCACTGAGTCCTCTACACTACACTAGTGGGTTTTGGGGAAAGGCAAGAGGAAATAAGGCAAATATAATACTCACACCTCTTACCATACTCAGAGAAATAAAGTCTCTGACTCAGGAATCTCATGTTTTCTGTCAGCAACCAAAGAACAGTAACAGGCTGACTTAGTAAGTTTGTAAATACAGTAAAATCACATCTTAGACTCAGCATACACTGAATCTAATTTGTGTTTCATCACAAATTCTCAGCCATAATTTTTTTGGAATATTGCCCTTTCCTAATGTTCTTTCAGAAATTTAATCTCATGAATTGAACCTTTTCACTTAAGCTTGTATTTCTTTTAATTTCTCTTTCATACTTACTCTAATTTCTAAAGGTTGTAGTCTCAGTAATCTCAGCTCTTTCAATTCACTAATTCTTGCTCTAGTTGTATCTATCCACTGTTTAATCTACTCACTGAGTTTTAATTTTTAAGACAATATTTTCGTTTCTAAAAGTTTGACTGGTTCTTTATCACATCTGCCTGATTCTTTTTAATTATTTCCATATTGTATATTTAATTCCTTCTTTTAAAATTCAATTCAAGTTTTCTTTCTGTCTGGCATTCCAGGATATTGACAGTAGCTTAGTACTACTTATGTTTTGAGTTCCCAGCTTGGGAAATTTTAGATTACAAAGAATTATAAAGTTTATCTCCAAACCTGGGTGAGAATAGGCATATGGTTGTGAATTCCCAGAGGAGATCATTATTTTTTCATCCAGAGCTCAAGAAAAAACAGGCAATCTTGTTCTGAAGTGCAAAGACTGTTCTCATCCACCTTTCACTGAGGGTGTAGTTCTCTGAGGTTCTAACTTTACAAAAAGGGGGTAGGTCTCAATTCCATTTCTCTATCTCATGTAAACCTACTTGGGATCTTCGGTTTCTGTGTTACCACTAATTCCTAAGAAATGGGGTTACTGAGATCAGCAACTCCAATGTGAAAGTGACCACAGCGAATAAATAGTTCACTCGTCTTCTTTTAGCTACCTATTTATTTTTGGTCTCTGAGCATTTTATTTTGAGCTCAGCTACTCATTTAAAAGATGTCTATCAGGGGCTCTTGGGTGGCTCAGTTGGCTAAGTGTCCACCTTCAGCTCTGGTCATAAACTCCTAGCTCGTGGGTTCAAGTCTCACATTAGACTCTGTGTTGACAGCTCAGAGCCTGAAGCTTGCTTTAGATTCTGTGTCTCCCTCTCTCTCTGCCCCTCCCCTGCTTGCCCTCTGTCTCTCTCTCTCTCAAAAATAAACATTAGAATTTTTAAAAAGTCTATCAAAAATCAAATCAGTAATCAAAAAACTCCCAGAAAACAAAGGCCAGGACCAGATGGATTCACAGGCAAAGTCTACCAAACATTTAAAGAGTTAATACCTATCCTTAAACTATTCCAAAAATAGAAGAGGAAGGAAAACTGAAATTCATTCTATGAGGCCAGCATTACTCTGATTCTAAACCAGATAAAAACACTACAAATAAAAAGACAAAACTATAGTCCAAAATCTCTGAAAAACAGATACAAAAATCTGTAAGAAAATATTATTAGTAAACTGAATTCAACAATACCTTAAAAAACCCGTTCTACCATGATCAGTCGATTTATTCTAGGGAAGCAAGGGTGGGGTTCATTACTTATAAATTGATCAAAATTATAAATAATTAACAAGAGAAAGAATAAAAACCATATGATCATCTCAATCTCAACAGATGAAGAAAAAGCTTCCGACAAAGTACAATGTCCACTCGTGAATGAAAACTCTGAACAAAGTAGGTTAACAAGCAAAATACCTAAACATAACAAAGGCCATATATAAAAAACCCACAGGTAATATTTTTTACTCAATGGTGAAAAACTGAGAGCTCTCCCTTTAAGATCAGGAATAAGTCAAGCATGCCCACTCTTACCACTTTTATTCAAAATAGCACTGGAAGTCTTAGCTGCAGTTATCATACAAGAAAAAGAAAAGGCAGTCAAACTGGTAAGGAAGAGGTAAAGCAGTCTATTTGCAGGTGACATGATACTATAAACAGAAAACCTTAAAGACTCCACCAAAAAAACTACTAGAACTGATAAATGAATTCATTAAAATTACAGGTTACAAAATTAATATACAGAAATCTCTTTTTATACATCAATATAAAGTAGCAGAAAGAGAAATTAAGAAAGCAATCCTATTTACAACTGCACCAAAAATAATAAAATACCTCAAAATAAAATTAACCAAGGAGGTAAAATACCTTTACTCTCAAAACTCTGAAAGACCGATGAAAGAAATTAAAGACACAATACAACCAATGGAAAGATTTTCCATCCTCATGGATTAGAAGAATTAATATTGCTACAAAGTCCATACTATCCAAAGCAATCTAGAGATTCAATGTAATCCCTATAAATACCAACAGCATTTTTCACAGAACTACAACAAATAATACTAAAATTTGTATATAACTACAAAAGACCCCAAATAGCTAAAGCAATCTTTAGAAAGAAGAACAAAGCTAGAGGTATCACAATCCCAGATTTCAAGATATACTACAAAGCTGTAGAGTCAAAACAGTATGGACACACATAGATCAATGAAACAGAATAGAGATCCCAGAAATAAACCCATGCTTATATGGTCAATTAATCTGCAACAAAGGAGGCAAGAATGTACAGTGGGAAAAAGATAGTTTTCCACAAATGGTTCTGGGAAAACTGGACAGCTACATATGAAAGAATCAAACTGGACCACTTTCTTACACCACACACAAAAATAAACTCAAAATGGATAAAGATCTAAATGTGAAACCTGAAACCATGAAAATCTAACGGCTGATGCTCTGTATCAGAGCAGGGGAATGCATGGTGGGAATGCAAATTGGTGCAACCACTGTGAAAAACAGTATAGAGGTTCCTCAAAAATTGAAAATAGAAATACCATATGATCCAATAATTCCACTACGCAGTATTTACCCAAAGAAAACAAAAATGCTAGTTTGAAAAAAATATATGAACTCCTGTTTACTGCAGCATTATTTATATTAACCAAGATATGGAAGCAACCCAAGTGTCCATCAACAGATAAATGGATAAAGAAGATGTAGTATTTACATGTGATGGAATATTACTCAGTCCTAAAAACAAAATAAGATCTTGCCATTTGCAACAACATGGATGGACCTACATAGTATTATGCTAAATGAAAGAAGTCAAAGAAAAATACTATATGATTTCACTTGCAGTTGGAATATAAAACAAATTAACAAAGAAATAAAAAAAACCAGACTTCTAAACAGAGAGAACAAAATGGTGGTTGCCAGAGGGGAGATGGTAGAGGGACTAGTGAAATAGGTAAATAGGATTAAGAGGTACAAACTTCCAGTTACAAAATAAGTAAGTCACAAAGATGACAAATACAGCATTGGGAATATAGTTAAAATAGTTTAATAACATTGCTTGGTGATAGATGGCGACTACACTTATCATGGTGAATACTGAGTAATGCACAAAACTGTTCATTCATTACACTGTATACCTGAAATTAACGCAACACTGTGTTAATTATACCTCAATAAAAAATAAAAACATAAAAGGAAGTCTATTACATAAATCTACGTAAGAAGTCTATTACACATCTTTGTAGAAGATGGATTTCAAGTTATCTAGTCCAGAACAGAAGTTTACACTGGTTTTCAAATTGGTGTGACATAATAATAATAAATATACCTTTTGGTCATTATCCAAGGTTCCTGACACATAGCTCCTAAAAACTCTTGCAATTTCCTATAGAAGAGCTATAGAGACATTTTTCATTATGTATTTAGCTTTATCCCAGATCCTGAAATAGCTCCAGAGTGATAAAGGTTAAATAATGATGTCTTTTGTTATTCATAACAAGCCTCTTTTACCCACACCTGAGTTTAGATTAATGAAATAACTTTGAGGCCCCCTAAGAATGGGAGCTGATTGCCAGGGGAACGAACCTCGTGATTTGTGAGTGAGAACTTTCAGCCCTATCTCTTAGACCTCCAGGGAGAGAGGGGCTGGAGACTGACTTAATCACCAAAGGCCAATCATTTAATCATTCATGCTTCCATAATGAAGCCTTCATGAAAATCTCAACTATGGGCTCAGAGAGCTTCCAGATTCATGCCAGGAACATGGCATACTTGGAAAGGGCATGGAAGCTCAGCCCCCCTTTCTCCATTCATTGCCTTATGCATCTCTTCCATCTGACTGTTCCTTTGTTACAGCTTTTATAATAAACCAGTAATCTAATAAGTAAACGGTCTTCCTGTGTTCTGTGAGCCACTCTGACAAATTAATTGGACCCTAAGAGAGGGACATGGAAATCTCTGATTTATAGCCAGCCCTCAGAGGAACAGGGAACAACCTGGATTTGTGATTGATGTCAGAAAGTGGACAGAGAGGGGCTCTTGTGGGAATGAATCCTTAACTTGTGGGATCCGAAGCTATCTTCTCCAGGTAGATAGTGTCAAAACTGAATTGAACTGTAGGACACTGAAGGTGTCCAAGGAGTTTGGAGAACTGCTTGGTTTGGGGGAAAAACCCATATACATATGGTCACACAGTGTGAAAAGTACTGAGTAGAGGTGAAACACAGGAGTGTTCTTCCCCGAAGGGCAACATCATAATTTAATCAAGAAAATCAGGGTCAACCTAGTTGCTTTTGAAACATCTAAGGTGCTAGGAACTGTTGTTGTTTTTAAAGTTTATTCATTTATTTTGAGAGAGAAAGAGAGAGAACAAGAAGGGGAGGAGGGGAGGGAGGGAGTGAGAGAGAGAATGAGAGAGAAAGAGAGAGAGAGAGAGAGAGAGAGAGAGAAGAATCTCAAGCCGGCTCCATGCTGTCAGCAGACAGCTTGATACGGGGCTTGATACCATGAACCATGGGATCATGACCTGAACTGAAATCAAGAGTCAGACACTTAGAACTGAGTCACCCAAGCAGCCTTTTTCTTTTTTTAAAAAATTTATTTATTTTGAGAAAGAGAGAATTGTTGTTAAAGTTAACCTTAACTAAAGCAGACTGAATGTTGATCCACATATTTTACTTCTGCCATCAGATTATATACTGATTATATATCACCAGCTTATATATCATCCTTTGCCCATGGCCTTCATAAGAGCAGAGTATACCTTCCTGCTCAACTTTGGTCTTGACCATGTGACTTGCTTTGACTAATGAAATATAAATAGAAGTAACATGAATGGAAGATTGAAGTGTGCTTGGATAGTTGGACTTGCCCCTTTACACTTCTTTTATTGGTATGACACCATGTCCTCGGTAGCCTCCTGGTCCCAGAAGACAGGCATATGGAGAAAAACCCAGGCTCTACAGTTCAAGGTCAGCCTAGAACAGCTGAACTCCAAATGACATGCAGATGGAGGATAAAGAAATAAATACATGTTGCTATAAACCACTGAGTTTTGGGTAGTTTTTATGCACATAACTGTGAAAGTAGCTGACTGATATAATGGCCAGTATCTCAGGCCCTTTCCCTAAAATGGAGCATTTGAAAGGTATTCTAAATTTTTTTTTCAACGTTTATTCATTTTTGGGACAGAGAGAAACAGAGCATGAACGGGGGAGGGGCAGAGAGAGAGGGAGACACAGAATCGGAAACAGGCTCCAGGCTCTGAGCCATCAGCCCAGAGCCTGACGCGGGGCTCGAACTCACGGACCGCGAGACCACGAGATCGTGACCTGGCTGAAGTCGGACGCTTAACTGACTGCGCCACCCAGGCGCACCCCTGAAAGGTACTCTAAAGGAAGTATTTTGACCTGAGATTTTTTGCTCTGCTCAACAGACTAGGTTTAATTAGTTACACTACGATAATACTTACAACTATATATATATATACATACACACACATACATGTATATGTATATATGTGTGTGTGTATATACATATATATAT